GTTTAGTGTTTTTTTTTTAAGGAAGGGTGGAAGTGGTGTAGTGGCAAGTGGCACGCTCACCACGCGAGCGGTCCGGGGATCAAATCCTGGGTCGTGAGTCGCCCGGGCCAACCAAGCCTTCCATCCCTCCGGGGTCGGTTAATTGGTACCAGACTTGTCTGGGAGGATAAAAACACTGACTTGTACATCGGCTGGCCCCCGCAAAGTCATTGTATAGGCCACATCGCATTCAAACGCCACTACGAATGTACAAATGGAAGTAGAATGCGTGCCGCATCCCAAAAAGGGATTGATCAACGGCAAATGCTTTATCCTTTTTTTTATCCCATCACTTGTGGGTGTGGGGTCTGCATTCGACGCTTCTCTCATTTCCCGAAAGGACACATAGTCCGGGACCGGATCTATCCCATCTAAGGCAGCCTAGTCAATCCATCAATCAAAGGATCTGCATTGATTTGGTGTTATAAAATTTGTCTGAGGAGGGTTATATAACGCCAGCTTGAAGGTTCCGGATATCAAATCCTGATGTATGCCGTTTAGCTCAACACAACGTTCCATCCATCCACGGCCTAGATGTGTATTGAAGGATAAGAAGCAATCTATCTTTAAACGTGACTGGGAAGATAAAACTAATCTCGTACATCTGTTGGCTCCTGGACATCAATGTGCATGCTGAACAGCTTCAGAAACACCATTGCGATTTTGACTGGAGGCGGAATGCATGGCGCACCAAAACATATTAGGTCAGGAATTGACCACCGTCGGTTGCTCTATCCTCTAATTTTTTTGATATCTCAAGCTTGCTTTTCTTCCGATACCAAAGATGCCCTCTACATATTCTCCTTAAGTTCACCAAACGAAATCTATAATGAAATTCTTGGCATAATTCGGGTTCCGAGCGCCATTATGCATATCTCTGGCCGGCTTCTGAAGGTTATGTAGATCCAGGGACACTTGCACCTTGGTCACTGAACCAAGTACTAGATGGATTTGCATAACTTGAATGGTGGTGAGTGCACTGCATTCTTCCATAAAAGAAAACAGCTTCAAACAAATTCTTGGAAATGCTAGGACTCTCCGACTTCTTTGCTAGTCCACTTATCTGATATAATCGTATTACAAAATTTTACTTCAGCAAGAATGCCTGGGTTAGTGCACAAAGACTGGAACCCTCACCTCTTGCTTACCGGGCAAGGCACACAATTACGCGACTGGGATCATTTCATTCCAGTTCAGTCTCTTTATGGTGTACTTACCATAACAAGTTGAAAACATTTATTTGTGAAATCTGCTCATTCTATTCAAACAATTTTGAATGAATTTGACTCAGTTAGCTTTCCTTGTTCTTATTCATTGTACAGATGTCCTAAATTCATGTAGACTGTTTCTTCTGAGCGTAACCACAAACATGCAGGTACTGAAAGCTATTTCTCAGCGTGCTGGTCATTGAGGTACTTTCAAAAGTCTTGAGCGCACACTTTCACCATGTCCAAAGCCTTTTGTTCCTGCAGCTGCCATATACAGGGGGGGGGGCAAAAAAAGACATTTTGCCCATGTCGCACTTCGGCCCTTTTTTCTTCGCAGAGATTGCCGTCGTTGACGGAAGTTCCTCAGCAAAATATTCCCTAAATGTCCCTCTATAAGTAGACGCAGGCCCTCCTTCACTGCCCTCACCGTCTTCAGAATATGACGTCATCTGTCACCGTCGTCAAGCTCAAGGAGGCTACCGTAACTGCTTCAGCCTGAAGCTCTTACATAATTTCGTGAATCGATTCAATGTTGGATAGTTTCCTAGAGGCATTAGCTCCCACTATGCAAACCCCTCGGAACTAGCTTTCCAGTAAAGGTCGTTATGGTACACGATCCTTCGAAGACCCCATTGAGCTCGACCAGTGCACCATGTTTCCAGGGCAAATTCTTCTGATGCCGTCCACGTAGGTGGCCACTATGAAGATTTTCTTATAGAATGAAATGCGCTCTTCAATAATAAGTTGGAACCATTCGGTCTGAATTGAGCAAAGTGTGATTAAATCCATCTGAAAGTGGAGACAAAATGTCTTTTTTTATTGCCCCCCCCCGTGTAGTTCTTCAAGGCTATCAAGGGGCTGTGGTAAATATTTGTTCGACCGATTCCTGACATTGTGTGATGTTGGGAAAGGGCGAGAGTTTTAACGCGAAAATTGCAACTCGACAGCTTTGCTTTCAATCATGAGATGATGGAAGTCACCTGCCAGGTTATAAACTCATCAAAGTGAGCGTTTCAAACAAACTGCAGGATCTTTATCAGTTTCATGCTTTGCTTCTACTTCCGCTCACTCAATCATTTAATACTTGTGTTTACGTCCTTGATCTTTCCGTCTGAAAGGAATGAATCTACCACTATGATAGTTAGGCCACAGACCAGGGTATAGACCGCGAATCATGGCAATTTTGCAGCTATTATGCCGAACTCCCTGTTCCCCTCAGCCGCTGTCCTACGGGGAGACGTGCAGCTCACTTGGGCAGATCATACAGAGCTGCAACCACTGACTAAGTTGCCGTCTTGGGTCTTAGCCTAGTTGTGCTTATGCTTCACATTGCTGTGCTTTGCCTATTGATTGGTGGCCTAAATAGCTTATCCTAGATTGCTTCGTGCATTGAATTTGTTTAAAGGCAAAGTTCGGGCTCAGACCCACCTAATAAGCCCTTAAAGTGGCTAGAAGTGCATGGGACGCAGCTGCAGGCGACTCGCCAAGTTCCCGCATCCAAATGCGTCACTAAGGCGCTAGGGGCCAAGGACTTTGACACGCTCCTCCTGTTGCGACACGCTCCGCCCACCGCTCGATATTTTGTCTGCGTCGCAATGCTGATCTGCTATGCTCTCTCTTCTCGGATTTCTCTACCGCTCTCCGCGCTCACATTATCTCTCCCTGCCGGCCTTTTGAACTTCTCCGCAGCCGGAGAAAAGGCTCGTATTTCCTGTGTATTTCAGGATTTTCCTTTCTTTTTTCTCCCAACGGTCACCGCGTAACGTGACCGCCCCTAACACGATTTGAGTAGACATTACCTCTATCGGTGAAGTATCGAATCTTGCCTTCAAATGTGAAGTTTGCCCCGAGGAAGAAGTCTTCTACCGCACGTGTCGCGTACCTGACGTCCCAATCAAGTCCTGTAGCAGATACCGGTCCAATGCGCTCCTAATATCTCTGAATTATATGCAAGAGGATTTTAGGTCAGCATTGTGAATAGCAAGAAACTCAATATCGTAAATTATTGAAATGTCATCCTGAATTTCCTCACTTTCCGCAGCATTTTTCCATGGTTTTCCATTTTATTAAGGGTTTGCTACATCATTACCTGAAGTCAAAGTACTGCTACCTCTACCTAAATTAGTACCGTGAGAACCACATGAGACTACGACTCTGAATTCCTCTTCTTCACTGCGGTGTGTGAATCTCACGGCCGCTTTGCCTTCAGTGGAAGCCTCGCTCAACACCACAACTGAGCAGAAGGGCATATAAAGTCGTGTCGCCAGAAGATCCCTTCCTTTTTGTAACTGTGCCGAGTTAGTATCATATTTTAATTGTTCCTTTCCTTCAGCAAAAGAAGTGTTAAAAGGCAACCCCGGCGTACCGACTTTGTGGGAAGGATGCTATCGTGGGAAATTTGAAAAAGGTCCCTACCTACTTAGTCGTTCTAGCTGCCGCAACATGACTTCCGGTTTAGGGCTCTACCTTCTTTAACGGTCTGCGACCAAATCGATCCCCCCCCCCCCCTTCAGCCTCCCTACCACCCTCGATATCGGCGTGATCTCTCGCGTGTTTTGTCTTCTTTGACCGCCCTGCCTCGCCATCCATTCCACATCCGACCTTTTGAAGGTTAAGGCCTTAATTTCAGCGATCTCAAAGATTTCTCTAGCTTTCCTTTCCACTTTCAGGCCGTCCCGCAGCTCAGTCATCACTACGAAGCGCTTTTATCACCTCGGTTTAATACCGGGCTGCCACTAAGTGTCTTCTTTCCCCGAATAGTAATATTTTCAACGCCTCGAAGCCTGGTTCCCACGGAGTGTATTCGTTTTCCTCGATTTGCACGGTCTTTTTCATATGCCAAAGCATCTGTCTACACTATCGGACTCAGAAAATATGTCCATTAGCAAAGAGACGGAATTATACAAGGGATACTCATGGATCCAGAAAAAAATCCAAAAAATCCCCTGTTAATTCATGCAGCATTTCCTTCTTTCTATTTTTTCATTTCTTTTTTTTTCTAACATTTTATATAATAATATACATCATAGTTTGTATATGTGAGAAGCATGTAATAATTAAAATTGAGAGGAAAAACTTTGTCCCACACAACGGGCTGTCGGCCGTTGGTTAAAGGGTAATGCCCTAGTTCGTATCCATACCTTTACTACATGGCTGCTCTACCTTCCCTGGCCAGTTTTTATTCTTTTTACTTCGAGAACAAGGCGACCACCCTCAATTGGGGCTTTTCGCGGCCGCATTTGTCATGTTGCACCCCGTTTCCTATTTGTCCTATAATGTCATCTGACGTTTCTGGCATCTGGGAATCACATCATATCGAAAGGCAACGCTTCATCTCACCTCTTCACTGTATGCGACGTTCATTCTCTGCGAATCACCCTTTTGGTTTAATCCTGCTTTGCAGGGCTATAAAATGTGGTGGTGGATAATGGAAAAGCTTTTTGGCAATTAAACGCCTACGGCATTCCTTCGTTTCGGGCAGATCGCACGCGGCGGCTCATGCCGGGAAAAGCTTGGGTCCAAAAACCCTTGGCTAATTTGGCTCACGTTGACTTACAGTAACCACATTTGAACACAAACACTTGCATTCTTGCTTGGAATATAGCTAATTTTGTCGCGTTTTCGTCTTGAAATCGCTTTTGCCTCACAATTATGACTAGCAAGTGCGCCTCTTCGCGATCCGTTGATTGAGCTTGAAGCTCTCTACACAACGTGCTCAAACTCCTGAGCCTTCTCTATGACCGCCTTTTCAGGATGATATTCATAAATACCCGGCCTCTAGACGAAGGAGTCCATTATGATCGTCGTCCAAGTAAAGCACCATCACATCATTCAGTTCACAGCAGCCATGGTGGAGAGACGACGAAAAGGGTGCAAATGAATGTGAGTACTTTCTTAAGCACCGAGTTATGTACTTCACTACTACTCGAAAAATACCGAACACTCTAACTGACATTACGCCAGATGGCTCGTACCATGCCCTACTCTGTCCTTCCGTTCGAAAATTCAACGTTTAGAATCGAATCTGTGGCTTCTCTATGATTGCTAGTAAGCCCTGAACCCCCAATAGCTTGCTTTTTTCACAGAATTCAGAAGTCCAAATTTTCTGACCCCTCCTCTTGGGGTCTCCTCACCACCCCCCCCCACCGACCACCACTTTCATCGTCGGTTGTTCTATCTTTATTATAAGATCAGTGACAGCAGCCCCCACTCCCTTTCTCCTTTTTGCTCTCCAAAGGAGCCGTCAACCCGCGTAGGGGAGGTCATTTCTCTAAAATGTGTCTAAATAATGAAAACGCCTAAAATCCTTCAGTTGCTCCATCTTCGGTTCTTTCATGAGTTCTCTCAAAATTGCATCTCAAATCCTTAAACACGGCGCCTTCACACTTCTATATATGCAACCCTACCTTTCCCTCAAAATTGTTATCAAATCATTCATACACGAACCCTTCATCTTCTATAAATGTTCTACCTTTTGCCATTCACCATCCCAAAGCACGACACTCCCCCGCTCTCATGGAAAACTCAAGTACGACCTCCCATCAAAAGCTCCCCAACCGCACGGTTCACCCTGCTCCATGAGTCGCTATCGCTAATAGTAACTTTTTATATGTCTATAAAAGTATTGGAATATCTGAATATATAGCAGCTCTTCAACACTCTGAAATGGAGCGATGGATTTTTCGACCTGTTTCGCTCGCAATGCCCACAACCGAGCACAACGAAAAGCATAAGCCTGGCTTTCCTGTAAAAAAAAAACAAATTCGAAACATTCCGGAAATGTAGTTCAAGGATGTGTTGTAATAAATATATAGTATTACAGTCAGACTTTGTTGTTTCTCATGAGATATTATGCTATTATTTCTCAGGGTGGCTTTATAGTTGTGAAACGGTGCAGAAATAGGCGCTTATGGCCTTTAGGGACCATTCAGAACCGGGCAAAACTGCTGGTGTTACCGCTAGGATAGGGGAAAAAGGCCACAGAGAGCTAAGGTGCTCACGGCCCAGAATTTCTTCCTTCTCTGAGGCTTAGTCCCAAGCTCAGGAAGTGGCTCCCCCACTTCAGTGTCCCTTAACAACATGTGCGCCCATAAAATACTAATAAAAGTAGGAGAAAAGGTGCTCTAGCCAGCACCAGTTCTTATGATCAGGAATCAGTTGGTTATACTGAAAAGGTTCCTTGTCGACTACTTGCTGCGGCAATGCACAAATTGAGGGTGACCTTATACCATGAAACGAACTGCAATTTTGTGCCCCCTTGTTAAACTGTGATCGAGGGCTTTGAACATCCTTCTAGAACGTGTCGCATCAGTGCTGAAACGACTTCATACATATTTACGTCCCATGTATACAGCTGATAACTGCCCTGATGATTTGTGGTGCTGAATCAGTGACAGCTGATTGCACGCGGACCAGCGGTCTCGCCTCAAAATGAGAAGAGCAAAGTTCTTGAATGTGAACGTTCTGTATGGGATACGCCGCGCTCATGACAAATATGAATCGGGGAATGTTAGCTTCCGTTTCATAGAGCCAGGGACATTTGTGGTTCTGGGTGACCAATTCCATCAAACAGCCGACAACCTCCATTTCCCCGGTATGTGGTGGTGTATCTGATGACGTCATTATGGCTGGCCGTTGGTTTCTTAAAACGCGTCGAATAGTGCCGACGGAGGGGGCGGGGAGGTAGGAGTGAAGAGGAGTAAGGCAACAGCTGACAAAAACTATCGAATAGGCAACATTTGCGAGAATTTCAGGATTTCTTCAGCTTTGAAAAGTTTTGCATTTTCCAAAAAAAGGTTGACCTAACTCTGAAAATACGATCCTTAATTCTCGAAGCCACAAAATACTGCTTCTCGCTACTAATGCGCCCAGACGGCGAATCGAACTTATTATATTGGACACCTGTACATCTACGGTAGAATATGAACAACCGGTGACTTTATAGGCAGGATCACCATATCTTCTGGAAGGATGCAGAGTGGAAGTGAGGGTGCCAAAGAAGCGCCAGTTGCTATAAAGAGCGGAGAATGATTAAAAAGCCGCAAAACACGACCCGCTGATTTTAAGTTATGTGCGAGCCAGCAACCGAAGAAAGAGCTCGTTTGGACGTGTTGACCCTGATAGGCCGATGTCAGACTTTGCGAATCGCGCGATTCGCTAGCGTCCGCGGTCGCGTTGCGGTACCAGCCAATTGAGTGATTCACTGGCCGCGACGCGACCGCAGACGCTAGCGAATCGCGCGATTCGCAAAGTCTGACATCGGCCTAGCGATGTTACGCCAAAAATATCGCGTTTTGCTCTCTACTCCAATACCTAGAAGAAATTTAACATAAGGGCACTTGAAATAAACTTTTTAAGAAGGGAACAATGCTGCTGACAACACGTTGGTGGGCGGAGCGGTTTCGCGGCGTCACGGTCCTTAGGTCCGAATTCTTGCTACGCTGCAAGTAGCTCACTGTTTGCCGCGAAAACGCCACACCCCGCCTCCATTGTCACCTCCCTACCGTTTTCGGTCTTACATATAGATATTTTCACGATAAGCACCCAAAATCGTAGATGTTCATAATAAGATGTTCTTTTAGGTCAATTAACGGTGGTTTTTTTCAGCGTGTTGCGCTCTGCCTGCTGATGTTCTATCTTCTGGTTAGCGCCGTACCTGTTCTTCTGCATTATCCCCTATCGCTGGTATCTTTGATTGTGCCTTCAATTGTCGTCCTCTACGCTCTTTGTAACATAAACTCCGAGAACAGATCTGATTGCTGGCCATGTTGCCTTATAGCGGTAAGTCAGCTATCATTTTTTGTTAATATTTTCCAGTAAGGAACTCTAACAATGGAAACTGATCAACGGTGAAGCCAACTTGTGCTAGTCGACCAATGTTACCGTTGGCTAGGTCACGGCGCGACTCACATTCGTCGCGTGCGAGAGCAAAGAGATCAGGAGCGACGTCGCTCGATATAAGTGCTGCGCAAGTGCAGCGCGCGGTATGTGCGCCGCCACTTGACCTGGTCACACTCACCGATAAATGAAAGCACCTATTTTCATGACAGCCAAAGCCATGACGTCTATTCACGCTCTGTTTCAGAAAACCAGAAGCGCATCTTGTCGTAACTTGTGGTGTGTGCTCTGCACCCACCACAAGTGACGACGGCCTCCAAGTAAATCTGGTAACTGGTTCATAGTGATAGCTGATTTTGGTAAATGATAGTTGTAATTAGTGACAACTGATAGAATACAACTGCAACAGGCTAATCATTTCATTGGCAGAAAACATTTACATTTTGTGGAGGCCGTCGTCACTTGTGGTGTGTGGTCTGCACTCGACGCGCTTCTGTTTTCTGAAACGGAGGGTACACTGAAATCGCGAGGAATCCAGAAAATAGGTTGAGAGTACTCAAGAATTGAACAGAATGACAGGCACTTCTGATACCCGTCGACTTTCACTAACAAACTTTATGTTGACGAGTTTTTCAGAGCTTGTTCTTTGACTGAGTTAATTTGAACGACGTTTAGGAGTTCATGTGCACTTTGTACTCATTACATTACTATGCAAGAAGGAGCACTTTAATGCTTTGCAGTACTAGGGCTGAGACCCGAAAGCGGGGTTTCTGGAAGGCATAGGCTCTACATACCTAAACTTTTTATCAAAGAGTTTTGGTTTTGGGGAAACCCATTCGTGTCAACTACTTGAGCCACTAATAATTCTTAGGGTCACAATCAGGGTGAAAATCGGTTGAGGATTCGTCGACGACTCGTAGCCTGTTCGGCCGCGCACTCTCGCGTGGACATTCACTCTTGAAGGGCCGCAGTCAGGGTGAAAATCGGTCGAGGTTCCGTCGCTGCATCGTCGATAATTTTCGCCTGCTCGTTTACGTTCTCGCGCGCGACATTCACTCTCGCCACCCGCGAGCCGTCTGTGCTCTCCGCGCGTACATTCACTCTCGACACACTGCACAGAGCCATGGAGGAGGATTTGCTCGACCGTTATTCACCCTTTTTACAGCCCTGTTTGGGGCATCATGAGCACTACTTTCGGTGAAGCATAATAACTGCGTTCTGAAACAAATCTTTGCGATGTCCTTTCTTTTTTTCCTGAAGGCGCACCCATGTTGAATCAATCTCGGTCAGTAGTAGATAGAGTTGTCCGCTCAAGCTACAGATTCCCGCGTTCCTACAAAGAAGTGCAAGCTGTCTGCGCCCTCTTGCCCGTTGCGCTCTCCTCGCTATGCTCTCTTCTCACGCCAATTTTCATGCCCTGGCTCCGGCGGAATTGAAGATAACTAGGCCTTTCTTGTTAAAATTTTATAACTGTCTTTTATGCCACACGATAAGATTTCTTTTCGTTCGAAAACCCCCCCCCCCCCCCCCCCCCCCCCCCCCCCCCCCCCCCCCCCCCCCCCCCCCCCCCCCCCCCCCCCCCCCCCCCCCCCCCCCCCCCCCCCCTTGATGGTTAGGTGTCCTTATAAGTTCAGAAAAACCTACATTTCTCGAAGTCTTAGCAAAATATATATGAATTGCAGAATTGATGTGATTAAATTAGTAAAAACATTGAAGACAGATGCTGCGAAGTCAACGGTCAAAAGCCTGCGCCTAGTCGAAAATTCTCCATCGCCCACAAGCGATTACCTCGCTGGAAGCCCACACACAGGTACGAGGCGCCAAACACCGCTCAGAAAACAAACTAGACGCGCACTGGTAGGACTTTTGGTATTCATTGCATGGTGATCAGCAGAGGTAAATAAAGCCAATCTACTCCGATTTGTTGCCAATTCTTACGGCTTGGAATCAGACCACTTTACCTGTTGAATCTATCAATTTCTAGTAATATATTAGGGCTTTAGTCGTAGACGACATGGATCGAGTACAGAAGTGTTTGTTGTTCTTTTTGCGTGTTGCTGTAATGCTAGGACTATATGACTGGATATTTTGTGGCAAAAGTCATCATCATGCAATACTTTCGTTGCGGGAGACGATTCGCGGCACTATTTTCTGAAAGATTCAACAAAAATTCTCCAGAGAAAATAAAAGATCTTTAAGTAGTCACTAACTCTTAAGGCAAAGGTCGGGCTCAGGCACGCTAGAGAAGTAATTCCCGTGCCTGGAGGTTGTATGTGGGTAGCTGCACACATTGCAGCAACTTCCCACCTTGAAAACCCCGTTAAGGCCCCGGGGCGTTCGGTTTCAATCCAGGGCCGCCTGGTCAATCCAGGACCGCCCACCTCCGGAAGTGGTGCGTGGCTGGCATAACGTGTGAAATCAGCTAGGTTGATTGCCGTATCAACCGATAGAACGACTGACATCTCCAGAAAACTTGTTTGTACGTGCCTCTTCCCCAAGCCAGCCTCCTTCACTGCTAGTGGGAAAGAGGGTTTTGTTAACGGCCTTGTCGACGGTTTTTCTCAGTTTTTCTCCACTGTCGTTCCACTTCGCATCTCTGATACTTCAGCCCATACCCCTTGTCTGAGCCCGACCTTTCGCCTTTAAGCCTCTCAAACACCAGTAAGGGTACTAATAGTCTGCGTGACTTTCTAGGAATTTTTTTTGTATCCAGTAGGCCTGCGAAGCTGAGAGCACGATTCGTTTTTGTTTTCCTTTTATAGCTATTATGCGAATTCAGCTTTTGTTTGTCTTTTTTTTGTGAATTCTTCTGAGGAACAAACAGCACCTGTCTGCTCTTCTGTGGCGCACCATCAAGTGCATTGGTAAATAAAAAATAAATAAATAAATAAATCTTCGCTGAGGTCTGACAATTAGTCGCGTCCTGATCTTTTGTGCGAGGCAAGTTTTTTGTAGGAGTCTGTTATCTGTGTAATATTTCCTTGATGACTTCCTACTTCAAAATGCATGTTGCGAACGTTTATCAGAGGCTGGCCCCAGTCGTTTATCAGCACTAGCACTATCATGCCACCTGTTCCAGGGAGAACAGCTGATTTGAGTGACCAAACGTGGATTCCAGTTGTTCGTGAGATATGGAGCCCAATATGAGCACAAAATACAAATGGCCGGATGTTTCTCAAATCTACAAACACGCATTGGCTTAAAGTTATATGGTAAATAAGGTTGTCCCTGTTGGAAGGGAATAACAAAACAACTCCCGCGAATTCTCTGCCTTCCGATCACCAAAGCGCCATTCATTTCTGACGTTAGCGCCAGGAGCGAATTGGCGCCACTTTGCCACGACAGCCGATTTTCACTAATCTCGATGTCAACTTCTGTAAAGGGTATTTGGTGTCCTGATCACGAACGGCGCATTCGTTTTTTGGATTAGCGCTGTTCGTAATAACTTTCTGCCTCTCAGGTTAGGCCTCATTCAAAGATTAAGGCCAAACGTCATTCTTTGGAATCGCTAATCCGAATCTGCCAAAGTATGACGTCAGGCCGCAAGACTTAATCTAGCTCAAAAGCAACGATTTACGAATACGTCTCGGAGCAGGGGTCGGTCCTATCGTTGCTACTTTTCAAAAAGTTTTTACGACCCCCCTCATGAAATGTTTCATACGACCCCCTCTTTCAAAACAATTTTTACCCCAAAAAATTACCGTCGAGCGGGGGGGGGGGGGAGGGGGAGTATAACACGCGCTGAAACGCGCGCTCCCCACTCATCACATGCCACTTCTTACATACGAAGCTAGTACGACCCCCCCTCTACAAACTCACCAAAATACGACCCCCCCCCGTTGCTACCTGTAGCAACATAGGGTTGACCCTGGTTCGGACTCGGTCTGGTGAGGAGCTCTATGTACGCAGTGGGTGAAAAAAGCCAAGGAAACCAAAAGAAAAAACGAAAAACATGACTATTTATGTCAATTGGCATTATTTTCGTTCATACACGGGAAACGCATATTTGTGAACGGATCTTACCACAAACGCGATTCGCGTGGCAGGAGGCCTGGCAAATGTCGTTGAAAAAACAAAAGTTCGAGATTTCGATTCTGAACTGAAGCTTGATTAGGCACCTTCGTTAATCACAGACCTTACCTGGTTTTGCACTTCTCATATTTACTATTTCCAGCCGTACTTATTATTTAACTTTAGAAACAATAAATGTTCAAGTTCCAGATGCGCCCTCATCTGTGCGGTCGTGGGTAGCATGCTCCGAAAAATGCCGACTCTTTACACCCTTACAATTAGTTTCACCTGCCAGGTGCGTCTATAGCACCGCCGCTTATAGCTTAAAGGCAACGATAAAAGAAAATTTCCCATCGGGGAAGACCCTGCGTCACACGGCCAGCACATGGACATTGGCCGCCAGAGAAGGATGTGCTTAGGCCCGCCAACAGCGGAGGTGCTGTGGTTGCTGAGCAGGACCCGCGCGGCGCCCCGCCCTCTGCGACGTGACGCCCACAGGATTCACTCGGTGGCTTGGGCGAGCCGTGTTGCCAGCCGCAGCGCGGTTAGGGCGCCATGCCTGCTGTTTGCTGCCCAGCACGCGTTGCGCAATCTCGTCCACGCGTGCGCGGTCTTCGCCGCAGTCCATCTGAGAGCCGCAATCAAACGGCCACAAAAGGGGGTCCCATTTCTCGTTTCCTGAACGGATTTCGCTGCTTCTTTCGCCACTGACGTACCATTGAGGACCCCCTCGTCCCCTCTAAACCCCATTCAAACCTAGCGTAAGCCGCTGCTTTTAATCATTATTAAGCACCAGAAAGCACACGGAGCACTAGACTTTTTCTTCGGCGGTTTTTCGCATATGGGAACTGCTGTTTCTGCGACAGCGGCAGTAAAAATCAGTGCCGAGCTTCCAAAAAACCATTGCGAACACATGTCATGACTGGTGCTACGATTAGTTATACCGTATGGCATGGTGCTAAGTCCGCATTGCAAAATTGGCTGTCGAATACGAAGGGTGCATTTGTGCTGATTGGTGTGTGTACTTGATAATACATATAATGGAGTTTTGGGCTAATTAAACCCTCGGGTAAAATTAGACCTTTGCTCCCAATGGAGTTACCTTTGTAATT